GATGTTTGTTTTATTCCATTTGATGAAGCCCTAGTGGCGAAACACATTATTGTATTTTTACTTTGTATTTATAATAAAGGAACTATTTTGGGCACTTTACCAAAGTTTGTGCCAAACTCCTTTTAATTTTTTACCTGTCGTTCTACCATCACTCCAAAGAAAGGTGGGGATCATACCACCAAAGCTGATACCATAGAGCAGTTAGCCTGCTCTGTACTTTGTTTGTATATTTTATATACCTTATTTATATCTGTTTTTTTCTTCTTTCTATTACCGTTTGGAGCTCCAATCAACCTTTAGACATAGGTCACTCACACCATATCCTGAAGTGGGGATTGTACCACTACCAGCGCTTCATGCTAGAGCTGGCTAAAGCTCTATGAAATGTGAGTGTATTATCGCTATGTCACTATAATCCCTTTATACTATACAAATTGCACTATTGGGCCTTTTATTTTGTTTCGTTTCTTTTCTCCTCTCCAAATATATGTATATGATTGGACACCGCAGAGACTGATCAAAGGATACCACTCCTAGGCCTTGGGAATCCACACCTCACTGCTAACGCATCACAAAGACACCTGTTGGTGTGAACATCTAGGTTTTTCTCTTTCTGTATTTCTGGCCATTTTTTATATATACCTTTTATACATATCTGTGTGGCGCAGCCCAGATTTACATCTGTACATTCCTGTTTTTGTTCAAAGGGTAAGAGGGATCCCCTTTGTTGTGGTTGCTGCCTACCCACTGATATATTAGCACTGACCCATTTGTGTGCATTTCCATAGCTCCTTCTGTCTGTGTCACCCTGCAGTGGGAGGGACAGACTCCGTGTCCCATAGCTCCTTCTGTCTGTGTCACCCTGCAGTGGGAGGGACAGACTCCGTGTCCCATAGCTCCTTCTGTCTGTGTCACCCTGCAGTGGGAGGGACAGACTCCATGTCCCATAGCTCCTTCTGTCTGTGTCACCCTGCAGTGGGAGGGACAGACTCCGTGTCCCATAGCTCCTTCTGTCTGTGTCACCCTGCAGTAGGAGGGACAGACTCCATGTCCCATAGCTCCTTCTGTCTGTGTCACCCTGCAGTAGGAGGGACAGACTCCGTGTCCCATAGCTCATTCTGTCTGTGCCACCCTGCAGTAGGAGGGACAGACTCTGTGTCCCATAGCTCCTTCTGTCTGTGCCACCCTGCAGTAGGAGGGACAGACTCCGTGTCCCATAGCTCATTCTGTCTGTGCCACCCTGCAGTAGGAGGGACAGACTCCATGTCCCATAGCTCCTTCTGTCTGTGTCACCCTGCAGTGGGGGGGACAGACTCCGTGTCCCATAGCATTTTCTGTGTGTGTCACCCTGCAGTGGGAGGGACAGACTCCGTGTCCCATAGCATTTTCTGTGTGTGTCACCCTGCAGTGGGAGGGACAGACTCCGTGTCCCATAGCATTATCTGTCTGTGTCACTCTGCAGTGGGAGGGACATGCTCAGTGTCACTGAAAGTAACTCACCAAGTTCATGGGGCAATTCGTGGCAGAGAACAGCAAGTGATGTCGCCAATCCGGTTTTCCATGAGGTTGAAAATGCGGCTCCGATCGCCATACCATCTGCAAAGTTGTGAATTGCGTCTCCAATAGTGATCATGTAGGGAATCATTCGCTGCTCTGTGACGATACAGAATATATATTGTATTCCATAATCTTTGATTTATTGTCTAAAATTTTAATACATTTACAAATTATAAATCATACAAAAACAAGCAATCATTGGCAGTGATGCCAAACGGCCATTCTCTCCACATTCAGTCCTCTATTATAGGAATTCCATATATTATTCTATGTTTTGTTCTGTTGTTGGAAAGTTCATATATTACGGTTTTACTTCACATACGTACATTATTACTAAAGTCGCCCTGTAAAGCTCAGTCATCTTCCACTTACAAAGACAGTCTGTGGACTTTATAGGAAAGCATGTTTATCTTGGGCCAGCATTAGGAAGCCCAGATCAGCCCTCATTTAGAACATTGGGCAGACTAGATGGGCCGAATGGTTCTTATCTGCCGTCACATTCTATGTTTCTATGTTTCTATGTTTCTATATAGTCTAGGATTGTTACGTCATTAGATCAATTTTCGGTGAGGCTCGTTCTCAATCCCCCAAGTCAGAGAGGGAACATCATATCTTCTCTGGTAAAATATTTGGAGTCTCACCTATCACATGAAATCTTTCCTGAATCTCAACATTCTAGTGCCTTTTAGGACCGCATGTCAGCTAGCAAGGACTCGTATGTCACCAGTTCTAGATTACTGCTTTGCAGCTTGCCGGTACCTGGGAGAGTCACAGCTTTACATAGTTTGCACATTTTAATCTGTTATCCTCTGTAACTTATTTAGATATTAATTCAGTTTCTTTATATAGTTTTTCACACAACCCTCTCAATTCTGATCATACACTGGGGTTAATAAGATTTTGTAACAGAGCTCCCTGTACCCCAGCTGGGTACCTCTGCCAAGGACCACTTCCTAGCTGTAACAGGGGACAAAACGCAGCACTTCTGGCCACAATCACTGTGGCTTGACTGGGGTCTTGGAACGGCTCTCTCCTGGAGCCGAATGGGGAATTCGCTCTAGACACCCCCAGGCACTGGACAACACCCCCTGGGAGCTCTAGTCCTTGCAAGGACTTTCTCTGTTGAATCCTCCACACTGAAACATTGATTAGCCCTTTCCCCTCCCAGTAACCAGCTGACACATAGTTCTGGGAGTACAGGCTGGAATACCTTTATTGGCAGCCACAATTGGCTTTATATGCAGGTCTTCAAGCAAGGGGCACTCACCCCTTGACCTGAGAGTAGCCTACAATAAAAACATACACACAATTACATTGGCTCTCAAGTGCAGGACACTTCAATACAAAACAAGATAATCCCTCCCCTGGGTTTTGGTCCTTGTGAACGGCCGCCTGGGAGCTAGCGATTGGTTCTATGCACGGTAATGGAAAGTGCCGAACCAGTGGAACCAGGGGGAATAAAATATGGATCTTTACAGTCGCTGACCTGGCCCATAGTCGGTGGGCAGCAGGCCCTCCAGGAGTCCATGGCAAACATCTGTGGAAAGCGGCATTTGTCACAGATATCACTGATAAGGTGACTTAGGTTCAATGGGACGTAACCCGTTATCATATTATTGTAGAAAAACAATAAGTACCTTCAACTACAGAGTCCAAGAGAAGAGACACAGTCTAAAAAAAAAATAGAGATGATTTTAACTTTAAAATATAAAGTTACCAAGTTTACTACGTGTAAACCTTAAATTGATCCTTATAAAAAATTGTTTTCAAACAATGGGCGAACCAGCAGCATATCCGCAATGCAGAACTAACTACCATTGTGTAGAAGTGGACTATTGTGACTAGGAAAAAAACTAAAAAAATTACTTAATCCAGACCTAATAATAAGAAATAATAAGAAGGAAGACTAGATCCACCTCTAACCAACATTATGCGGGTACAGCCACCTTTCAAGGAAAGATCCACCCATAGCCCACACTGTGCGGGTACAGCCACCTTTCAAGGAAAGATCCACCCCTAACCCACACTGTGCGGGTACAGCTACCTTTGAAGGAAAGATCCACCCCTAACCCACACCGTGCGGGTACAGCCACCTTTCAAGGAAAGATCCACCCCTAACCCACACTGTGCGGGTACAGCCACCTTTCAAGGAAAGATCCACCCCTAACCCACACTGTGCGGGTACAGCCATCTTTCAAGGAAAGATCCACCCCTAACCCACACTGTGCGGGTACAACCACCTTTCAAGGAAAGATTCACCCCTAACCCACACTGTGGGTACAATCACCTTTCAAGGAAAGATCCACCCACAACCCACACTGTGCGGGTACAGCCACCTTCCAAGGAAAGTGTCACGTATTCATCCGCTTATAGAAATGTGGTTAATGACATTTACTGTCCACACAGGAAAAGTTGTGCCGAGCAGCAACCTAATCCACAGAAGGGTTAATGCTGAGCAGCAATTATGCAAATGAAACCTGGTAACTGACTTTGGGTCAAAGGCCGGTTACAGCCTATCAGAACTAAAGGAGGGGTATTTAGGCCCAGTTCTCAGCCTGCTCAGTGCCCTGTTGTGGTTTCCCTTGTGGTTGTCTGAGAGCGCGTTCCTGTTTATAGTTTTCTACCTGGTTTTTTGACTTTGGCTTTGTTTATTGACTTCTCTATATTCTGGTATCCTGACTCCTGGCTTTTCTCATCGCTGTGTCCCTTTCTGTGTTCCCTGACCTCGGCTAGTATTTTTGACTATTCTTTGTACGTTAAATCCGGCCATAGGCGTGCGCACGGGGTGTGCCGGGTGTGCCTGGGCACACCCTAATCCCCGTGGCACGCCTATGGTTTGAGTCCTGCAGGAACAGCGTTCCTGCACTTTTTTTGAGCAGGAACGCTGTTCCTGCAGGCACTCAGTGCCCCTTGTCTCACCTCTTGCCCCTGTCATGGGGGGGCAAGAGGTGATGGATTCCCCCACCCCCTCCAGCTGAGCCGCGGCGAGGGAGCTGTATGGTCTCTGCTGTCTGCTCCCTCTCGCCGCGCGCTGATGCCGGGAGCCGGAATATGACGTCATATTCCGGCTCCCAGCTACAGCAGACAGCCCGCGCGGCGAGAGGGAGCAGACCGCAGAGAGCTCCCTCGCCGCGGCTGAGCTGCAGAAAGGCGCCCGCCCCACTGGACCCCAGGGAAAAGTCCACCAGCACTCCAGGTAGGAGGCTGGGTGGACATTTGTTTTTAATTGAAAATATAATAATTTGTTCTTGTGTGTGATTGTGTGTATGTGAGTGTGTGTGTGTCAGTGAGTGTGTCAGTGAGTGTGTCAGTGAGTGTGTCAGTGAGTGTGTCTGTGTGTGTGTCAGTGAGTGTGAGTGTCTGTGTGTGAGTGAGTGCGTGTGTGTGTGTGTGTCAGTGAGTGTGTGTGTCAGTGAGTGTGTGTGTCTGTGTGTGTCAGTGAGTGTGTGTCTGTGAATGTGTGTGTGTGTGAGTGTGTGTCAGTGAGTGTATGTGTGTCTGAATGTGTCTGTGAGTAAGTGGGTGTACGCATATATATATATGTGTATATATATATATATATACACACACACACACACACACACACACACACACACACACACACACACACACACACACACACACGCACACACACGCACGCAGAGCCGGCGCTATCTGAGTGCCGGCTCTGCTCTAAGTCTCCATGGGCCGGCGGGGAGACCAAAAGATCTACCTCACCGGCCCACAGCAGCATGGAGGGAGGCAGGAGAGGACCCAGGGAGCTCTAGACAGAAGCTCCGCCAGGTTCCTCTCGCGATATCTGAGTGTTGCTGCGGCAACGCTCAGATCTCGCGAGAGTTTACTCTAGCCCTGCAGGCTAGAGTTCACTCTCCACTGGACCACCAAGGATGGCACATGGCAGCAAGGATTTACTAATCTGCCAAATCCCTCCAAACATACAGCACACACATACAGCACCTACACACATACAGCTCACACACACACAGTACACTAACCGCACCCTCACAAACACACACAGCACCTTTAAAAAAAAAAACTCAACACCCTCACACACAGCACACTAACAGCACCCTCACAAACACACACACACACAAACAGCACCCTCACAAATACACGACACTCACACAAACAGCACCCTCACAGGACAAACATACACACACAAACAGCACAGTCACAAACACACACACACAAACACCCTCACATCACACTAACAGCACCCTCACACACATCACACTAACAGCACACAGCACACTAACAGCACACACAGCAGTGTGTGTGTGTGTTTGTGTGTGTGGATATATCTATATATATATATATATATATATATATATATAGATATATCCACACACACACACGCGGCGTGTGTTTGTGCTTTAGGGTGCACACCCAAATGCAATAGGCTGCGCACGCCTATGAATCCGGCCATTCTAAGGACCGGTAATACGTTACTTATTTGTCATCCGTGCTGTACAGTTCTACGTGCTGGATCAAACGGTAATCCTGACATTATGACATGGCCATAGATCCTGTAGAACTGTGTCAGCACATAGCTGCTTGCGAGAGGAAATTAGAGGAGAATGATCACCGCATGGATCAATTCACTCAGGCTTTAAGTACGCTTCTCGCTAGAACGGAGCATCTGCAGCCTGCAGCGTCTCCTCCTATAGCACCTCTACCCTGTGTACCTCCACCCACTGTTAATAGGACTCCTTGCATCTCCTTATCACCATCCCTACAGTTTGATGGCAATATCCAGAAATGCAGGGGTTTTCTTAATCAGGTGGAGTACCATTTTGAGGCCTCACCAGGGTCATTCCCCACGGACAGAGCAAGAATTGGTTATCTAATGAATCAATTAAAGGGCAAGGCCCTTGCCTGGGCTAATCCGTTGTGGGAGAGTAATCGGAGCATAGCTCATAATTACCAGGAATTCCTTGCCGAATTCAAGCTCACGTTTGAGCCATTGGGTAGAGAGGATGACGCCTCCACTGCCCTAATGCACATCAGACAAGGTAACCGGTCTATCTCGGATTATGCTATTGAATTCCGTACCTTAGCTTCCGAGGTAGAGTGGACTAACAATGGGTTAATCTCAGCATTCAAAAAGGGTCTCTCAGAGACTATACTAGATGAGATAGCCGCTAAAGAATTACCTAAGAGTCTTAACGAATTTATTACGCTTGTCATGCATATTGATAATAGGTTAAGACTCAGAGAAGTCACCAGAAGCAAGACCAGACGTACGGCTATGTCCCTAGCACCTCAATTCTCTAAACCTGTTTTGTCTAACCTCCCTGTACAGTCCGAACCCGAACTTATGCAGTTGGGGGTCACTAGACTGTCAGAGGCCGAAAAACAGTATAGGAGAAGGGAGGGGTTATGCCTATATTGCTGTAGAAAGGGACATATGATAACTAATTGTCCAGTGCGTCCGGAAAACTTCCGCACCTAAGAACCTTAAGGGGACAGATCTTAGGTGTGATGGAGTTGTCCTCTAACAAAAACAAAAGTAGATTCCTCCTTGAGGTATCTATTTCCCTTGATAACAAGAAGTTTTCTTGCAGTGCCCTAATGGACTCAGGTGCTGCTGGAAATTTTATTGATGTTCAGTTTATTAGGGGTAATGAGATACCGGTCAGGGAGAGACCTACGCCGCTAGCTGTAGAGGCTATTGATGGTAGACCACTCACACAACCGCTTATAACCCACAAAACTGTCCCTATTACGATCTCCATTGGGGCCTCCCATAGGGAGGAGATGACGTTTCAGGTTATTACTTCTCCATCATGTCCTATCATATTAGGGTTTCCGTGGCTGAGTAAGCACAATCCTTATATTGACTGGGCTAATGGGGAGATATTAGAATGGGGTAAAGAGTGTATGGGGAGATGTATAAAACCAGTACTAAAGAGATTGGATACTATTGACCTTCCCACTACCACTCCCCAAACTCCTGGAGTTCCCATACAATACCGAGAACTTCAGGAGGTGTTTAACAAGGCTCAATCCGATGTATTGCCTCCCCACAGAGCATATGACTGTGCCATTAACCTGTTTCCAGGCGCTATGCCACCTAAGGGGGCAGTTTATGCCTTATCTCCCCAGGAGAGTAAAATAATGGAGGAATACATCAAAGAATCCTTGAGCAAAGGGCACATAAGAAAGTCATCCTCACCAGCTGGTGCAGGATTCTTTTTTGTTGAGAAAAAGGGTGGTGAGTTACGCCCTTGCATAGACTACAGGGCACTTAATAAAATAACTGTAAAAAATGCATACCCTATCCCACTCATTTCCGAATTGTTCGATAGACTTCAGGGAGCTAAAGTATTTACTAAGCTTGACCTTAGGAGCGCTTACAATTTGGTTAGAATTAAAGAGAATCATGAGTGGAAGACGGCATTTAATACCCGTAGTGGACACTATGAATATCTGGTAATGCCATTTGGGTTATGCAACGCCCCGGCCGTATTCCAAGACTTTATAAATGATGTACTCAGGGAATTCATTTACTCATTTGTCTTGGTTTATTTGGACGATATTTTGGTGTATTCCCTGATCTTCAAACTCACCACTCCCATGTGAAACAGGTTCTGCAGACGTTGTTGAAAAATAAACTTTATTGTAAATTAGAAAAGTGCATATTTGACCAGCCTGAAGTCCACTTTTTGGGTTACAACATCTCTGCATCGGGATTTCAAATGGATCCTAAAAACTAGAGGCTGTACTACACTGGCCATTACCCTCTGGTTTAAAAGCCATTCAAAGGTTTATTGGTTTTGCCAACTATTACAGAAGATTCATCAAGGGATTTTCTTCTGTAATAGCCCCAATCACAAATATGACTCGCAAAGGGATTAGTAGCACAGTATGGTCCAAAGAGGCTGTGAATGCTTTTGAGACTCTTAAACAAAGATTTGCCTCTGCGGACATACTAAAACATCCCGACACCAGTAAACCTTTTATATTGGAGGTTGATGCATCTGAGACAGGGGTAGGGGCTGTTCTCTCTCAGAGAGAAAGCCAGGGAACACCATTGCATCCTTGTGGCTACTTCTCCAGAAAGATGTCTCCTGCTGAGCGCAACTATGATATTGGCAATAGAGAACTGTTGGCCATTATTCTTGCCCTCAAGGAGTGGCGACATCTTTTGGAGGGTTCCAAGGACCCCCTGTTGATCATAACCGACCACAAAAATCTGGCATATATAGGGGATGCCAAACGCTTGTCTTCCAGACAGGCTAGATGGTCACTGTTCCTTTCACGTTTTAACTTTCTCATTACTTATAGACCTGGTTCTAAAAATACCAAGGCTGATGCCTTGTCCAGGCAATTTGATAATGAGTCAGCTCCGGAACAGGTGACATCTCCTATTATTCCACCAGAGTGTATTATTGCTACTACTGTCCTCTCACTGTCTTCTCCACTGCTTGGCACCATACTGGAGGCCCAGCCTCAGGCGCCCAGTGGTAAACCGTGTGATAAACTGTTCGTTCCCCTATGTGAAAGGGTTAATATCATGAAAGTGTTCCATGACAATATAACTGCTGGACACCCGGGCATCAATAAGTCCACTGCCGCGATCACTAGATCATTTTGGTGGGATTCACTCAGGAAAGATGTAAAGGAGTATGTGCAGGCATGTTCTGTGTGTGCAGTTTCTAAGGTGACTCATGCACTTCCTTGTGGCCTGTTGCAGCCTCTTCCTGTTCCTGAGATTCCATGGTCCCACTTATCCATGGACTTTATTGTTGAGCTTCCTAGCTCTGCTGGGTTCACTACTATTCTCATGGTTGTAGACCGATTTTCTAAGATGGCTCACTTCATTCCTCTCAAGAAGTTGCCATCTTCGCAAGATTTGGTCCTAATTTTCATACGTGAAATTGTCCGTTTGCATGGCATCCCCCACAATATTGTGTCTGATAGGGGCTCTCAGTTTGTGTCCAGGTTCTGGAGGGCGTTCAGTAAACAATTGGGGATTGATCTCTCCTTCTCCTCCTCCTACCATCCACAGACCAATGGTACAGCTGAGAGGGCTAACCAGTCATTAGAAGTTTATTTGCGTTGTTTTATTAATAGCACACAAGACAATTGGTCCGAACTACTCCCATGGGCCGAGTTCGCTAGAAACAATGCTGTTCATGACTCCTCTGGGCACAGTCCATTTTTTGTCAATAATGGTAGGCATCCTACGGTTCTCCCTGCGGTATTTTCTGATACTGCCATTCCTGCTCTGGATGAGCGTCTGGCCTCCATTCGGGATACCTGGGTTAAGGTTCAAACTGCTCTAGGGGCTGCTGCTGAACGCTTCAAACATTTTGCTGATAAGCATAGGAGTGCCAACCCGGTGTACCAAGTGGGGGACCGGGTTTGGTTGTCATCTCGCAACATCAAGCTTAAGGTCCCTAGCATGAAGTTTGCCCCCAGATTCCTTGGTCCCTATAGAGTGCTTCGTAGGATCAATCCAGTGTCTTACTCTCTGGCTCTTCCTGCATCTTTAGGGATTCCCAACACTTTTCATGTGTCCTTACTCAAACCTCTTGTCTGCAATAGATATACTGTTCCTTGTGTTCCTCCCCCTCCGGTGGTGGTGGGTGGTCAGGAAGAGTATGAGGTATCTTCTATCGTGGATTCTAGGTTTTCTCGGGGCACTTTACAGTACTTGGTTGTTTGGAAAGGTTACGGTCCTGCTGATCGTTCTTGGGTTTCGGCTCCTGACCTGCATGCGGGCCGTAAGATCCGCGCTTTTCACGCTAAATTTCCTCTCAAGCCTGGTCCTGTCCGCCCGGTGGGCGTTCTTCAGGTGGGGGGTAATGTCACATATTCATCCGCTTATAGAAATGTGGTTAATGATATTTACTGTCCACACAGGAAAAGTTGTGCCGAGCAGCAACCTAATCCACAGAAGGGTTAATGCTGAGCAGTAATTGTGCAAATGAAACCTGGTGTCATGTATTCATCTGCTTATAGAAAAGTGGTTAATGACATTTACTGTCAACACAGGAAAAGTTGTGCCGAGCAGCAACCTAATCCACAGAAGGGTTAATGCTGAGCAGCAATTATGCAAATGAAACCTGGTAACTGACTTTGGGGTCAAAGGCCGGTTACAGCCTATCAGAACTAAAGGAGGGGTATTTAGGCCCAGTTCTCAGCCTGCTCAGTGCCCTGTCGTGGTTTCCCTTGTGGTTGTCTGAGAGCGCGTTCCTGTTTATAGTTTTCTACCTGGTTTTTGACTTTGGCTTTGTTTATTGACTTCTCTATATTCTGGTATCCTGACTCCTGGCTTTCCTCATCGCTGTGTCCCTTTCTGTGTTCCCTGACCTCGGCTAGTATTTTTGACTATTCTTTGTACGTTAAATCCG